ATGGGCTCCGCTGTATAAATTTTGGTGAAGTAGGATATAGCATGGTTGGCAATGCTGTTGATGTTCTCAATGCTCCTGCCTTCATCATCTTTGATGCTAGAGATCCTGAGTTTATTGCGCCTGTTTTTAACCACATTATGGAAAAATTTGGTGTTAGCATCACCCTCTTTAATCCATTTGAGTCCCGCCTTCTGTTTCCCTTTTGGATTGGAGGAGTAGCTCAGCATTGGCTTTGTTGAATTCCACCAAATTTTCTGGGTTGCTGTTTTGCTCAAATTTGTCCTGGGCAGAATTTGCTTTATATTCTGCTTCCTTAAGGTTTTGGAATACATTCCCAAAAATATCCTTATTCCAAGTGCGTAGACTTTTCCTCAGTTCCTTAAGTTTAGCAGACAGCCCCTTCATGCCATTGTACGTTTTATTGCATTCCCAAAACGAGGCAATGGTACTTTCAAGGGTGTGGTGGGAGCACCACATGTTGAGGAAACGAAAGGGTTTAGGGCCCAGGAAATTATCCAAAATACAGTTTAGTAAAAGAGGCCTATGGTCAGAGGCTCCCTTGCTAAGCATTGTCAAATTGGTGGAAGTAAATGTATCAATCATAGATTGGTTACCAAGGATATGATCAAGACGTCTCCATACTTTCCCATTGCTTCTTTTCCCGCTCCATGAATAGTGGCCCCCTGAAGGATAGATATAAAGAAGGTTGGAGGATTCTGCACATTCCTTGAATTCATCAATAGACCTGTAGCAAGGTTCAGAATTGCCCTTATGTTCATCCACGTTGTGAATGCAGTTGAAGTCCCCTCCAACAATCCAAGGATCTGATCCAGTATGCCAAGATTATATGGAAGACCAAAGAGGTGCCCGGTCTGCCCTGGTGTGTCTTCCATAAACAGAGGAGATCCAAAGTGATCCCTGTGTTTCTGAGGATGAAAACTGGTAGTGAACAACTTGAGGATGTTCAACTACCTGTAACAGAGTGAGAGTAGGCTCTTTCCACATGATCCAGAGCTGCTTATTAAGATGAGAGGATGCCTTAGTCATTCCAAACTGCCTTTTGAAGGTGTCTAAATGAGGATCATCAAGAAGTGGTTCCATAAAAGCTAAAAAGGAGGGTTTATGAGCTGCACAGAGAGTTTGGATTCTTGGGGAGGACTTACGAACACCTCGAATATTCCAAAAGATCAAAATCATTAATAGGAGGAGTGAAGAGTTCTAGCTTTGCTCCTCAGAGTCATGCTAAGAGGAGCCATAGGGGTTTTTTTCCTCTACCCTTCATGAAGGATAAAGCATTCTCTTTGAACTGCGTGAATTTTCCCTCAAGAGCAGCTATGGGGCTTTTATTCAGAAGCCTTTCCCCTTCCCCATCTGAGTGAATACACACCGGAGTGCCCGGGCTGTTGTTCTCAACCACAGTAGATAGGAGAGCTAATGAATCAATGGTGGATGTGTGTTCG